AAAGAGGGGCAACTGTAGACACCCGATTTTTGACCGACCTCAAGACTTGGACGTCACCGTTTGAACACTCGGCGATTATCCATGTTTGTGTTCGTTTGGAGTTCCCGGAGGTCTCGGCTCGCGCGCTTTGCCTCAGGATCTCCGAACTCGACCGTTTAGTGTCTGGTTTTGCACCAAACACTTGTGTTTTTCCTTGGAAGGGCAGGGTAGGGCTTGTGGACCATCCCCACCCATCACCGGCCGTGGCTAAAGGCCACCGGCTGGTTTTTGCTGCCACCGGCAATGTATATTGCCGGCCGGCACTATTTGTTGCCGGTCAGCACTATTTAGTGCCGGCCGGCACTCTTTTTGGCCAAGATGGCATTTTTGGCCGGCCGATTACTGTGCATCTGCTTTTGTAGATATTTTAAGACAGCTGTCCTGCTTTTGTGTATGGAGGGATCTCCCTCTTATGAAGCTTGTCTTGTAAGCTTTACAAGACAAGAAGTGCCATATAGAGAGAGATTAGTCTCTTGGCTTAGAGAGAGACATTTTTAAGATATTTGGAGAGCTGAGACAGCCATTGTTAGGGTTTGAGATCTAGGGTTAGGGTTTGTTACACCTTATCTCTCTCTTTTTCCCTCTTGTGTGTGTTTTAGTGTGTTTAGTCCATACTATTGCACAGAAACACATAGTGTTTCACCTTCCTCTTGGAGCTGAGGTTCTAAGGGACTGATTTTGAAGTTTTGGTGTTGGATTCAAGCTAAAGGAGGCCATTAGAGCATCATTTGTGAAGGGGTCTTCAAGGGTGAGAACCTAGTCTCCTTTCTCCCCATTTTTGCATTGATTTTCTACCTATCTTAGAGCTGTTTTTGTGCTTATTGTATAATACAAAAAAGTTCTGTTTTTAGGCCCTCTTTATTGTTTATTAAGAGTGTTTTGTTGTTTGAGGGTGGTTGACCCCCCTTAGGCCTTGAAAGGCCTCATTTTGAGCCATTTTGTGCTAGCTCCGGGATTTTGGTGTTGGGGTCTCTTCACCACTGAAATCTTGAGGGATTTCAGTGGTGAAGATGATGCCTTGAAGTCCCAAGAAGGAGAGGGCCACTCCCTTTCCTTGTTGTCCTTGAAAAGGGCATGTTTTGGCCTCATGAGAGAGCATTATGCTTGAGTGTGTGTTGAGCATGTTTAGGCTGATTTTCATGCTTATATATCCATAATATAACATGATTTTAAGTTGGTTTTGGTACTCCATGCATGCTTAGCATAGTTGGCATGCATCATATAGCTCCTTCAAAAAAGAAGAAAAAAAAAAATACCTAAGCTAAGCAGATATGCCTCACGGAGAAACATGACCGATAATTGCAGAGTAGCAAATAACAGTACAAATTAAACAGTTCACTATTGTCTTTTTCTTTATTTATTTATTTATATATATAGCTTAATAAGAAGCATCTTGTGTTATACATTTGATCTAGATTTCTTTCCCTTTCATTTTCTATTCTGTGTTTTTTCTATATATATATCATCAGGACTATCAATCTTGCTTTATTTTTCTAGTAGTTTCTAGTAGCTCACTATTTTGGGCATAAAATTGCTCATTTCTAACATTTCAGTTCGTATCTAGTCTTTTTGCATATTGATTAAAAAGAAAAAAAATCTTGGATTTCTGGTTTTATATGAAACACGTCTAAATCATTGTGGAAACTTGCAGGTTAATGTTAATCACAATTCGTTCATTCAACATTGCAAACTACCCAAATGGGTTCGGGAAATTGGTTCAAGTCAATAATTTGCCTAAAGAAAGCGAAGTACAAACGATCCAAACAAGTGAAGGTAGTTTTCCTATTGTAAATGCGCCATTTTGTCACACTAAATTAAACTCTCTGCTAATTAGTAGAATAAATTCATTCAATCTGAGACACAACTCTCATTTTTCCACCCTAATCTTCTAACTTCACAGGAGTTGTAAATATACTTATACAATTTGTACTCATCTTGTTTATCATTTGTATTAATATTTAGATCTCTATGTATGTGTATATGCACGTGTATTGTAATATTGCTTCTTCTTTTTTTTTTTTTTGGGGTTCTTTTTCTCTAATCGGCTCTTAGCACCTTTTGGAAATAGGTACACACAGCGAACAACAAGCCAAATGGATCAGAAAACAGTGCTTCTAGTGAAAAATCTGGTGTTATTAGTATGCCGATGGAACATATTGCTGCCATGCGCATTCAAGCTGCGTTTCGAGCATTTAGGGTATGTATTGCCCCTAAATGCCCTAAACATATCGACTCATTGTCTAATTTGAATCTTTAGATCTGTTTTCGTTTTCTTTTTTCTCTCTGTTTTTAACCTTTTGTCATTGATTTTTACTTATAAGAAGTTGTGCAAAGTCTATCTTTTATGTTTAGCCTTGTCTGTCAAAAACTATTGAAATTCGAATAAATTTTGAAGAGATTTATAGCTTATCTCTATGGGTTTTTGCTGTCAAAGCTACAAAAATCATTCAAAATGCTTCCCATTTAATACATAAACTAGGAAGACAAAGGAAGTGAGGTTTTGGGCTTTAATTAATCAATTCAGAAGCCAGGATTTTGGTTAAGAGGGCCGGCAAGAGTCAAAAAGTAATTACACCAACCAAGTTCGACAAAAGTTAAAAAAATCAAAATCAAAAACAAAAATTAAACGAGACTAAAAAAATCATGTTAAAATAGTTAAAAAATTAAAAAATTAAATTATTTTAACTTTTTCCAAACGAAGACTTAAGGTTAGTAATATGGTGATTTAAGTCAAAAAAAACAAACTTCATAATTTATGTCATAAAAATTGCTTGAGCCAGTGGCTCTTCATCACCAATTCCATGCATGCTTAGCATAGTTGCCATGTAATGCCTTGTGATTCCTTAACATGTCTTAGGTTGTGTGCCTTTGTTTCTAACATGTTTTAGGCTTACATTTGTGAAGATTTTGTGCTTATCTTGACATGTTCTAGGTCTGTCCTAGGTTGTATGGGTCGGATTTGGCATGCATCATATAGCCTCTTTGCATTTTGGCTTGTTGGCCTTAAGTATGTGAGTGTGTAGCATGCCATTTTTGCATTGATTTGGTGTTTTGGGGTCACCCTACATGTCATTTCAGTCCTATTTGCATGCCTATATGTTTACCTTGGATGCATCTTTAATGCCTCATAAGCTTGTGTAGCAATATCCCTCCCCTGGGTGGTTGATGTATAAACAAGAAGTTGCGGGCTCTTGCCCCTAGCGTTCTGCTAGATTCTTCTTCTTCTTCTCACAATAGTGAACTTCTCCCGCAGAGGGGTTGTGGTGCGACTAGATGTGTAGCAGATCAGCAACTGACATCGGTTGACAATGCGCTTGGCCAGCTCAGATGTGATCAGACCTGTCCAGATAAGGGAGTGGAATATCTTGATCCATTCCAGTTCATGCTTCGCACTTAGCTTGATACCTTGCTGCTTGGAGGACGTGAGCGAGCTTTCAACCCTTTGTTGTTAACTTCAGTTGTGCCTTTTTCTAGTAGGTAGAGTGCCCTTTCTGGCAAGTATGTTGACAATGGGGAAAAGACAGAACACCTGACTCAACTATGCCCCTAGTTCATCATTTTGACCATTTTTTGTTTTGGCTTTCTACTAAAACAATTTTGACCAATATGGGAGTTAGATTAACATACTTGTTCAACTTTTTGATTTGAAATCATGCAAGTCAAGCTATGAGCATTGAAAATTTTTCTTTTTCGGGTCCAAGAAATGGTCCAGTTTTGGAAAAATAGAGCAATTTTTTAGAGAATTAGTCAACCTCAGTAAAAATTCTCAAAAACTGTTTTTGCAAATGACCACTGCTCGACCTACACGGAACTTACTCTTGAGATGCACAACCTCAGATCCAAAACAATGGAAAATTGCCCCTTGTTGAAATGGCACTGCACGGCAACGGAAAGTTGCCCCTTGTTTGAATGGCACAGCAGCACTGCACGGCAACGGAAAGTTGCCCCTAGTCTAAATAGCACCGCAGCACATGGCAACGAGTCCTCACAGTGACAATTACCGCTGAATTCTCGGATACAGAGAAGACAAAGATGATCAGAATCATTACATGGACACAATCGATTTGGAAGTGTTTATGGCTGGACTTCAGAACGAAGTTGCCTACGTATCCCAAAGATGGGCATCAAGCCTTACGTAGTTTGGCTTAAGGTACACTCGGGTATTAACCTCTCCTTTTGCGCACTAACTTTTGCCAAGACCGCCCTTCCAGGTTTTCAACCTTGTGAGTTTTGTTTTTCTTTTCTATTCATTTCTTTTCTTCTTTTCTTTGTTCAGAATTTTTCATTTTCTTCATTTTTGTTTTTCTCTATTTTTTTTGTTCTTTTTCTTTTCTTTTTGCTTGCTCTAACTTTTGCCTGGGTCGCCCTTCCGGGTTTTCGGCCCAGCGAGCCTCTCAAGGGTAAAAGTGTAGTTTTGTCCATGTCAAATGGTTTTGAGATCACGAAGCCATCTGAATCCAAGAGAATGGCTGCTGTTTGCTGACGATGTAGGAGTCCATCCAATGGGGGTTGAATTGTCCCTAGTGTTATGGATAGGAACTCAGTTGCCCATCAGCAAAAACTTTCTTCTTTCCTCCTTTCTGGGATTTGGCATTCTTGCCAATCTTCGTTGATTTGCAGAATGATCCATCTTTGGTTCTTCAAGCACATCTGATATTTTTTGCCCCTAGTCCAAGGGGTGTTTCTGATCTAGCTTTGCAAGCTTCTTTCGATGATGTCTGACCTTCTTGATCTGACTTTCTTGCCTCTTGTTCGAGGGCTGCTTCGAATCTGGCCACACGGGCCTCACATTGTGGTTGACCTTTGAACATTCTGAATTTATGTTCAAGGTTTTGAAAACAAAAGGGGTCGAGTCTCTAGGCTAAGAGTGATCCTAAGCTGTACAATCTCAAGAGCGATTCCACACAGGTCTTCGCAAGATCGTGCAAAACATTTTTTGAAATCTTTTAAGAAAGCGACAAATCGCTCGCGTTGAAGACAGTGTAGGACCAATCTAGATCAAGTCAGGATCCTTCTCAATACTCACATTAACAAACATGATCTCATTCATTAAGGGCTTAGCATGCCTCTCTTTCTCTCAATTGATCAAATTTTATAAATCCCGAGGAATTCCTTCCTCTTTGTTTTCACCACAGTGTTCAAAAAGAGTTTTGAAAAACTTAGGTCAATGCAATGATTTTGAGGCACAGAAGAAGTAGGTGAAAAGCACTATCGTTTCATTCAAACTTTCTGGCACAACTGGCGCTAGACAGAAGCAAACACAAGAGTATGAAAATTTACTACTGTTTCATTCAGATCTTCTGGTGTAACTGACTCCATGGCAGAAACAGACCCAAAAGAAAGCAAAAAGACAAATACAAAACAAAACAAAACAGTGATATCCGAGATGACACCCGCGGAATCACTCGACTCTTGTACAACAGGACTGACTCGATACAACAAGACAGACCTTTAAGCAAAAAGATTGATTCAAAACAAAGAGACAGACTCAAAACAAAACCATAGAACTGACTCAACACCTGAGTCAGAAACTACAAAAGCTAGCATTCGCAAAGGCTCAAAACAGTGCATGCCATAAGCCACATCTAAAGTAAACCGAGCGCCGCCCGCAGGTGGACCGACCCTTGATCACATACTTGTATTATCCTTGAAGTCCACCAACCCGGTGATGACAAACTTTGCTGAGCTCGGTGGGAGAATGACCCCGTCTTCAAACAGATCCTGTACTTCGTGGCGAAGTCGGAAGTAGTTGTCGGTGGTGTGACCAGTCTATTGATGGTACGCACAGTACAGGGTAGCATCATGTGAGAGAGGGAGATTACTCGAGAGAGGCTGAGGCTCAAGAGGTTTGAGATGACCTTTTTCAGTGAGGATTCGAAGAGCCTTGGACAAAGGCATGTAGAGGGCATGAAAGACCCTGCGACCTCGGGGTAGATACTTCGAAGTCTGTGGACCTTTGTTGGGCGCACTAGGAAAAGGATCGGCAGGTGCTGCCTTGGCTCTCTGATCTTTTCCAGGTGCAGGGTTAGGATTAGAAGGAACTGTTCTGGTAAGACGGTCCCTATTCCGATTTTCCCTTTGGCTTGAACTGCTCTCGGTCTGAGTAAGGAAAATGTCATCCACAGTCTTAGCCACAACTGCGAGTACTTGTTGCTTATTCAACCCCCCAGCTTTCAGAGCCTCAACAGCTTGTTGGAGTTGTTCATAGGGATCGGTGTCCGCCTTCATCTTGTTCTTTCCATTAGCCTCAGCTTGGTGGAAGGTTTGGGTTGCTACTTCAGTGCGAAGCCCCGTTGTCGTCGACACGTCATTGCCGGAGCTTGACAGCTTCAGGTTGGCTGAGCTCAATTATAATTCGCCCCAGTAGCGGGGGCTCCTGCGGTATGAAGTTTCTGGCATACGATGCAGTTGGTGGTGGGGCCGACATTCCGTAGGCTAAATCAGCCACAGACCTCTGAAGGTAACCAATCATTCCCATCAACTCAAATGTGGTGGGCTCGCGGGTATGAAATAACTGGGGTTCCCAAATCGGATGTGCGGCAGGCGACCTGGGCGGGTGTGGTACATCAACGTCGGTCTCACCCTGCAAGACGATTCCTTGGTTTAGTGCGGCTGCCATAACTACAATTTTCTCTGAATTCTAGGTCGTCATAAGTCTACTGAACTGGACAGGGGTGGTGTAACTGGTGACTGACGGATCTGATAAATCGATGAGTCTTTTCCTGTCTTGCCTCAGCAAAGGAGAACACTGGTTGCTTTGAACCGAGTCTCTGAACCTTGAAAGAGAAAACAGGCAGCATCTCAGCCCAATCAATACAGACATGGACATAGCTAAATAACTATATTCGACCACTATCACTGTTCCCCAAATTCCTGCCCAAAAACTGAATCTGATACCCGCATATATAACTGATTCTCAAAATACAGATGCCCGTAGGCCCGATACTTAGACTTGCAAACTGATACGTGCATTCTTGTAGAGATCAATTCTAAAAGCACATAGCAAGCAAATGAGAGCCAAAACACCCCTATATTAGGGTAGGGTTTCCCTGTCCTATTTTGCCAGGAGCTAGGGTTTTACTACGCACACAGCGGTTTTCAAACAACCTA